CAACCTCCGCCTCCCAGGTTCAAGCAATTCTTCTGCCTCAGCCTCCTGAGTAGCTGGGATTACAGGTGCCCGCCACCACGCTCAGCTAATTTTTTCAGTGGCTCGATCTCAGCTCACTGCAACCTACACCTCCCGGATTCAAGCAATTCCCCTGCCTCAGTCTCCTGAGTAGCTGGGATTACAGGTGCGCACCATAATGCCTAATTTTTTGTATTTTAGTAGAGACGGGGTTTCACCATGTTGGCCAGGATGGTCTCGATCTCCTGACCTCATGATCTGCCCGCCTCAGCCTCCCACAGTGCTGGCATTCCAGGCATGAGCCACTGCACCTGGCTTTTTTGTATTTTTAGTAGAGATGGGGTTTCACCATGTTGGCCAGGATGGTCTTGAACTCCTGACCTCATGTGATTCACCTACTTAGGCCTCCCAAAGAGCTAGAATTACAGGTGTGAGCCACTGCACCTGGCTGGAAATGAACTTTTTTTTTTTTTAAGATTGAGTCTTGCTCTGTTGCCTAGGCTGGAGTGCAGTGGCACCATCTCAGCTTAGTGCAACCTCTACCTCCTGGGCTCAGGTGACCCTCCCACCTCAGCCTCCTGAGTAGCTGGGATTATAGGTGCACGTCACCACGCCTGGCTAATTTGTTTATATTTTTAGTGGAGATAGGGTTTCACCATATTGGCCAGGCTGGTTTCGAACTCCTGACCTCAAGTGATCAGTCTGCCTGGACCTCCCAAAGTGCTGGAATTACAGGCATGAGCCATCATGCCTTGCAGAAGTGAGCTATTTTTATTGGCTTAAAGCTGCATTGCAAATAAAGCAGCTTTGCTGTCCCCAGGATATACCTTCCTAAAGACCTGTCCAGTATCATTTTATTGGCTGCCAGAGAATCATAGTAAATAACTCCCAAGTGTCTTAAGCTTTACATAAAGAGGGTCCGCTCTCAGCTGGGCACAGTGGCTCACGCTCATAATCCCAGCACTTTGGGAGGCCAAGGCAGGTAGATCACGTGAGGTCAGGAGTTTGAGACCAGCCTGGCCAACATGGTGAAACCCCATTTCTACTAAAAATACAAAAGTAGCCAGGTATGTTGGTGTGCGCCTGCTACTCGGGAGGCTGAGTCAGGAGAATCACTTGAACCTGGGAGGCAGAGGTTGCAGTGAGCTGAAATCGTGCCATTGCACTCCAGCCTGGGTGACAAGAATGAAACTCCATTCCCCTCCCCAACCCCTCAAAAAAGAGGGACAGCTATCTACTCACTTGGCAGCATTTCTCTAATAATTAGGTGTCAAGTTGTCTCAGTGGCTGCAAATTTGCTGTCTCCCAAACCTCTGGTCCCAGCAGAACTCCCAGGATCCTAAACCAGAAAGCCAAATGTTTAACTTAGCAGACATATTCTGGCCTGAAATCTGAGCCATGGAAAGCCATTACAAAAATGCATTCAATATCCTTTTCAATGCTTTATATCATACCCGGAGCCATTACTGTGTGGAAGCCAGGACAGCTCTGGCTTCTCCTCATGTACTTAGACTGTATGTCAAGCCAGAAACTAGCTAATCTAGAAAATATGGATTTGGGGATGAAGGGGAAAAAGCACCCTTGGAGTGAAGCATTTGGATTATTCTTCCCAGAGGCTTTTATTACCTCTCAGCTATTTGTATCAGGCTGCAAGTTTCAAGTGTTAATGGAGTTTGTTTTTGTTTTTCAGGCCCAACTGGAAGGCATTATTGCACCAAAGAAGTGATAACTTCCACATGGGTCTACCCCATCATAAGCCCTTTGTAATAAAAAGCTAGTTTCCTGAGTGAACAAGCCATACCCTCCCCTAACCACCTAGGTGTTTGTCAGAAGTCACACCATTGCTCCAATGTCATGAAACACGGAAGGTCTGCAAGCCAGCCTCCTGGCTGGGCAATGGAAGATGATGTGGTCCTGTTAGTCTCAGGGTGTGGCTTGCTAGCCAGTCTTGGGATCTGCCAGCTCAGATTCTAAGAAAGACACTGCTTTCTCATCATCATTCTATACCAACACTTATTTCTGACTAGATGAAGCTGCTGCTCTGCCCCTCAAACTTTTGGTTCACAGTTCATCTTCTGCCTTAACCTGGGCTTCTGGCCTTATTTAATGTCTTTTTATCCCTACTCTAATGCATTTCTATTAACTCATTTTGGAACTCTGGTTTTTCTGCTGTATTGTATTACCCCCACTTGCCAGTCAACTGGACCCCTTCCTTCTCAGTTTCAGACTGCCTAGATTAGTAAATGTTTGCCAGAAAGGAATACCAGTCATAGTGGCCTTTGTGAGCTGTCTGTAACGAGCTCTTCCCCCAGCACAGATTTGTTCACTTTATCCTGCAGAAAACCAACCCCCGACTCTGCACTCCCCTAAGTAATGTTGATTAACAACTGAAGAGGGAAGCAAATCTCAACATGCAGGTCTAATGACTAATGATTAGACTATGGCCGCTAGCCAACTGCATTTTAGTATTTCTCTTCCACTCCCCTGGTTTTGTAGACCCAGCTTGAATGAGTGACATAAATCTTTATGAGTTCAGGACAGGCCCCGGTGGGCTAGGATGGTAAGCTGGAGGACTTCCATCCTTCGGTCAGGCTGCACAAGTAACATTACATAGAAGGCACTAACATTCTCAGGTTCCCGGAGAGGTGTGAGAAGGCTCTCCTTAGCAGAGCTTCCATCTGCCATCCGTCTTGGGTCCAGTGAGCTTCAAGACTCACCATGGAAGCACTGTTGTCCCCCAGAAAACCCGTGTTCCCCAAGCTGTACACACCACACACACTGTCATCTGGAATCTAAGGGCAGCTTTTACCCTGGTCCAGTATCCTGAGGAATTATAAGGCTCCACTCAAATGACCTGCCCGTGTTGTCATTTCCGTGGGAAATAACTCTTCACAAGATCTGCTAGTTCCAGGATTCTACAGCAGGAATGTACGTGCCCTAAGTGGGTCCACTTTACAGACTCGATGAGGAACAGAAGTTACTGTAGTTTTCTTTTTTTTTTTTTGAGATGGAGTCTTACTCTGTTGCTCAGGCTGGAGTGCAATGGCTGATCTCAGCTCACTGCAACCTCGACCTCCCGGGTTCAAGCGATTCTCCTGCCTCAGCCTCCTGAGTAGCTAGGATTATAGGTGCCCACCACCATGACCTGCTAATTTTTCTATTTTTAGTAGAGACAGGGTTTCACCATGTTGGTCAGGCTGGTTTCAAACTCCTGACCTCGTGATCTGCCCGCCTCAGCCTCCCAAAGTGCTGGGATTAGAGGCGTGAGCCACCATGCTTCGTATTTCAAAGCCCAGGCCACACACACCAACGTCCTTGAAATCTGCAGTTCTGTATGTTTCTATTCCAAATTGTTCATTATCACTAAAGAAATACTACCCTTTCCATTTTGTAGACCTCATCCCCTATTTCTGTCAGACATTTACATGACAGGGTGACTGTGGATGAACCTTTTAGTTCATCTACAGTCTACCTGAAGTACTAGACTTTCAGATTCTATCACTGAAATCCTTAAGGGTGAGGAGGCTTTATTTCCCTAGGCTGGTGAAGGGCTTCAACTGTCAAACCTCAGAACAAATGCATTATGGCCTTAGAAATGCCAATGGGGCAGGAAGGAAATGAACACAATTTCTAATTGCATGTTTTTGTATAATTTAATAAAAACCTTTTAAACATGACTCTTTTATCTGAATTTTTTGTGTCTGTGTTTCTGTCCCTCCGAGTCATTAGTCTTCTTTTTGTTCCTGTTCCTGTTTTTCACGTTGTGTGTTTCATAGTAGCGCACACCAACTTTTTTCGGCCGTTGCTGCCGTTCTGCTCGCCTCCGCTGGAAAAAATGGCAAGAAAAGATGAAGGAAAAAAAAAAACCGATCAAACCCTGAAAGTCATTCACAAAACAGGAGGCTGTGCTTCTCATCTCTGTTCTGTTATCCGTGCTGCTTCCACAACTACTGGAAGAGGTGCTAATGAGGGAGGGCTCCCCCATACACTTAAGGTTACTCTTCCATGTGACTTGTGAAACTCCAAGTTACAAATCCGCATGTGGTCCAACCCTTATCCAATGAGTGAATCCCTTCTGCAGCACTCCTGACAAGTCCCCTGCAGTCAGGCTGAGTGCTGCTGACAACTACTCCCCTCCCCAGAGGGCCCACTCCAGCTCTGAACAGCTCAGCTCTGAAGCTGTCCTTCAGACTGCCCAAACACATCTGCTCATCAGGTCATTTCCCTTGGGACTACAAACTGACTCCTCAGAGGATAGTCCACCGCTGCGGAGATGTTGATTAGAAACTCCTCAAGGACCTTCATCCAGTGGGCCATGCCCTGACCCTATTTATCTGACTTCAACTAGGTCACCGAGGACTGGGGTTCCTGGGATTCAGCTCTGGACCGTTTGTTTCAGTGGGTCTTGACAACGGGACTTCTATTTACTCTAAATGGGTCATACTAAGACCTAAAACACTTACTTCTTTTGATGTAAGCGCCCTGGGAGCTTTATTTGAATGTTCCCGGTCCTCTTCCCTTTGTGCCTTCCGCTTCTTTCCCTTTTTAGAAGGTGCTGGATACAAATGATACACAAACAGGAATTTTCTGCTGAAAATTTGTCTATAAACCCAATGGTGGGAACAAGCTTGACAGAAGGATAAGGACACCCAATGTGGACAAAGCAGGTGAGCCAGCGTGGTGAGTAAAGCAGGCCAAGGGGAGGCCTTCAGGTCAGGATGCCCTGAGCCACACACTCAGTGTGGAAGCTGATGCAAATGGAGGGAAGGATAAATGCAGGAAACATGCCCCCATCTTTGTCTGTGGACCCACCCTTGGATTCTAAGGTTAACAATGAACGCTTTCTGAGAAGTTTCCTGAATTGACAATTTAATCCTAAAAAATGTGCAGAATGAAAAGTAGATAATTTGCATAACAGTATGTGAATTTAATCTGCCAGATATGATATCTATGTGGATGACTATATGAGATAATTTGGAGACTGAACTTAGGTTTCTCAAAGCTCTAAAGACACAAATTACATCTAAATGATTGAAATCATTTGTCTTCACCTGTATCATCTACATCTTCTAGTGTTTTTCTTTGTTCTTCAGGTTTTGCAAATATCTTTTCACTCAGTCCCTTGGATATTCTGAAACAGAAAAGCAAAGTAACATTCCTCTCACTGATCCAAATCACATGCTGACCTGGAGACCTGAGACAGACTAAGGAACCCCACTCCTATCCATGTAGTTTATCTCCAACGGACGAAGTCAACACCCAACATGTTTGTGCCTCCCTGGTGTTTCTAAAAGATTGGACAACCAAGCTTCTCATACTGAAGGTAGCTGAATTTTACACAATTTACAGCTCACTTTAAAAAAACAGGTAACAGCCAAGTGTGGTGCATGACGGCAGTCCCAGCTACTTAGGAGGCTGAGACGAGAGGGCTGCTTGAGCCCAGGAGCATGAGGCCAGTCTAGGCAACATAGTGAGACCCCAACTCAAAAAAACAGACAGACAAAAAACCCAACCAACCAGCCCACCAACCAAATGGCAATAACTCCATGTAAAAATACAGCTCCAGTACTCATGGCAAATTTACGGGACAGGAACGAACCATCTGCAATTTCTGAGAAGATGAACATACTACCTGACTGCCGAAAACTTTTTGGCTTTGGCTTTGTCTAAAAACTTCTGATATTTGGCGATCTTCTCATCCAGGGCTTTAATAACGGCTTTGGTGTCATTTCCCACATGTTCCTCCTCGGATTCCAAGGAAGACTCTTCCACAGCGTCTCTTTGTTGCTCCTGTTCCTCCACCTCTTCATCAGAAAAGCTGTCAAGCGCTTCCTCAAGATCTGACACCTCTACAGGAACCAGGTCATCCTCAGAAAACTGAGGCACCACGTTGATTTTACCAAAGTTCTGCCGAACCCGTGCGAGAATCTGCTGCATCTCTGTGTTAGCATCGCAGTGACTGTTCTCTTCCGTTTCTTTCTTAATGACGGATTCTGACCCTTCACCTGCAATTTCGGTGACTTCCTCTCCTGGATTATGCTGAGCTGCTTCTGGGACAACTTCCAAAGATGAGGAGGGTGGAAGCTATTAAGGGGTGGAAATAGGGGAGAGAAACAGAATCAGAAAATGAAAGCTGGAATTTCTGACTTGCTCTTAAATAGTCCTCTTCTCAGGACTAAGGGAAGGTATTGAAAACACCCAAATTTGAGGCATTTCATTAATCTATTTTTAAGCCAATGTACATTAAACCCAGAGACCAGTATTAGGATCAAAGGAATACACGTGTAGTTCCATAGGATGAGGCAACTAAGACTATTTAAATCATTAAAACCAACCAATGATTTACCATAGACAAGCAAGGCTCCCTAGACCTTCCGTAGGGGGCTGTTCATATAAGCACATGCAGAATCAGCACACACCACTATGTAAAAATGAAGGCCAGGGTGGATGTTAAGGATGTACTCAGAGAGGCATTTGAGGAGGTCCTCTGATTTAAGTGTGTCCTCCAAAATTCCTGTGTTGGAAATGGATATGGTTTGGCTGTGTCCCCACCCAAATCTCATCTTGAATTGTAGCTCCCATAGTCCCCATGTGTTGTGGGTGGGACCCGGTGAGAGGTAATTGAATTATGGGGGGTGGGGGGGTGGTCTTTCTCCTGCTGCTCTCATGATGAATAAGTCTCACGAGATCTGATGGTTTTACGAAGGGCAGTTCCCTTGCACACACTCTTGCCTGATGCCCAGTGTTAGACATGCCTTTGTTCCTCCTTCACCTTCCGCCATGATTGTGAACACTTCC